GCGCGTCGACGCGCGTCATCACGAAGTCCGAATGCTACCTTCTAGCTTAGTATAAGTAACACAAACCCACACCGTTGACGGTACTAGCGGTGAGGTTGCTGCTGATATCCATTAATTTTGCGCACAAACCAGGGATCGCATCTCGCTCGCAGTTAAGCAGTTGTCCAACACATGACTCTGCAAAGCTAATCCTCAACTTATAGAAAGTGCAAAAAAAGAAATGAGCTACAATCTTTAGCGAAGATAATTTTGGAAAAACAAGAAAGTAAAGAGGGCTGATCAGAAAGACTGAAAACAGAAACCGGTGACATAAATAGCAACTAGAAGAGGGTAGGAATGTTGTAGTGGAGTATAAGTTGTATGTAATTGTGATAGAGGTTCACAAGGGACTGGAACGGAGAGATCTGCTCGCTTGTCTAACCCCTCTCCCCCTCCCCCTTGTTACTGGGGAGCATCCAACGAAAATTGCAGGACAAGGGAAGTTGAGATGGAAAAGAAAAGGCAAACGAGCCGTTAAAAATGGGGGCAGAAGCGAGCACAGCACAGCAGCGCGCTGCAATACTTTTGCAAACTTCTACCCCCTACCCACAACAAGTTTCCTCTTCTAGTACGATCCCCCTTACCATCCTACCTAAAATCGCCCAAAATTTCGCCGCCTTGGGGAAATCCCTCCGAGCAGCCATTAGAAATAGTAATTTTGCTGCACCTAGACCAATGAGACTACAATTTCACCCGTTCCCATAGCGGCCAGGTTCGACAACCATCGGATACGACCCCCTCCCCACTTTGATACACCAACAAATGAAGCCCTCATAAAAACGCTATGGAGAAAAAGCACCACTAGACCGATAAACTTCGTATCAAAGGGTAAGCCAGAGGGAGAAGAACGTACCGATGTTCCTGGCAGCCTCCAAGCACGCGACATCCTTTTCATTGAGTCGACTTTGAAGGCAAGCCACTTGTTCCTCCATTAAGTGAAGTTCCTTCAAATCACATAGCAATTATGTTTACCTCGAACTGCACCCAAAATTCTGAATACCCTTTCAGGGTATGGGCAAGAGAATCGTAATTTGCCGCGCCGCGTCGCGTGCGACGTCGCGCTCGCTAATGACGACGATTTCAGGTGCACTGGTCGAGAATAGACAATGTATGACCAAAAATAGACATAAGTGTCTACCATGTCCTTGTCTACATGAAATCCGATGCTCCAATCGAAAGGAGTGCAAAGTGAGGAAACGTCGCGCCCTTTGCCGCGCGCAACGAAGCGGCAATTTACGGATTCTCTTGCTCGTCTCCCTACCCTTTCCCATGAAGGCGATTTAGCCGCATTCTGTGTAGTCCTCCTTGGAGTTAACGGGGGAGAAGCCGATGCCAACGCTGAAATCGATCACAATAAAAAAATTAAGCTCACACTCTGATCTTCAAACCTTCAAAAGCAGAGAAAACCTGCTCACATGGTCTTTCTAGCACAGAATTTTTGACTTTCGACAACATGGAAGACGTGATGTTACGAATGCCTCCAGATGTTTCATCCTGACCCAAATTGCTGCTCATCACAATTACATGATTAGAACGAGTATTGGGATGATCCGCGCCCGTCACTGTCATATGCGAGAAATTCGAAAGTGAACTGAGAGACACCGGCTTCGGATATTTCTGAAAGTGGTCCAGTCATTCATAAGGGATAACGAGCACTCAGTCCCTAACAGGAACATCACTAGTTATTCCCTATCAGAATTCTGTCTCAACTATATTCTCAAAATTATTCCAGAACGGTTTACAGCATCGGGACCGGGGGGATAGTGATGTCAAATGACCCCGCTCCAAATTTCTTCCTCCGGTACGACCCCTTTCCTCCGTCCTACCTACCACCTTGCTAAGTATCCAAATTCCCCACCACCTTTCCAGATTTTCGAAAAATTTTTCAGTCTTTTGGAGGTATGGGGGCTAAATAATAGAAAGAAAGGGAAGAAACAGTGAAAAGTAAAAGGCCGAGAACTATTATCGTTTACTCGAATACTAACGCTGTTATTTACAGCGCTCAAAATTAAGAGGAACCTTACAGAATACCAAGGAATTCATGATGGAAGTGTTAAGCCAGGGATGGCATCAGGGTCATGCCGTACAAGTTTTTTCCCCTGTACGTACGACCCAACCCTTGGGGACTCAGTAGTCCATCAAATGCATGAAAAGCAAGATTATATTACTTGTAAAAAAGACTGGTAGGACCCAACATTTGCGGACTTGCATCACACACCCCAAATTCGACTCGATAACATCACGTGGGAAGGAGAAACCCGAAAACTACACACTTATAATTGCTGACTTTCACAACAGGGTCTACAAGAAAGATAATTATAAGGCATGGTACCTTCGGATTCCTGTAATGAAGGGCTAGTTGCATAAACGCTGAAACATCCACGACCGGAGGATAACGCATCAAATAGTGTAAGCAGCCGCTATAGTCAGATTGAAGAACTGAAATGTGCGACGACTCAATCGATATAAATGGAAAATGGACAGAACCGAGTGTCCTCAACTGCTTAAGACGCGTCCGATTAGAGCTAAGTTAGAAAGTTGCAGGCAGCGATTTGAGCGTATGGCAGCGTTTTGAGCAACTAGATGAATGTAGATATCAATTTAGCCTATTAAGCAGATGTCAGGGCTTTGAGCGCTTAGCGGGCAGTTGTTGAAATCGCCAACATTCGCTCGGAACGCTGCTATACATTCAAAATGCTGACGCGAAGTATACATTCGTACAAGTATACATACACTTTAAGAGGAAAACCAAACTGCGGCTTTTTAGCACTTGTTC